CATTAGCCCAATCATTTTGGATTCACAGACCTATTTTCTAAGACCCCAAAAGACCTTCAACCCCCCCCCCTTTCCTCACTTTCATTACTCAAAAAATGACCTAATGAGGGTGTTCACTTGCTAATTCTTGATGATTCAGATATGCCAGTACTGTACTCAAAATTTAGGTCCCGACACCCGCCAGAAAACATCTCCCCCCCCCCTTTAGGGTCGCGACCCACCGCTTGGGACTTCTGGTTTGAAACCTGTATAAAACCAGTTAAGCACTTGTACAGCTAAGACCTGAAAGTACTCAAATCGTACTCCATTAAATGGAGACAAGAGATACCATATAATATGCAAATGGAGTTCCTAACCTGCACAATGAAATTACAGCTTAATGGAATGAGAGGATATAAAATTAAAAATAAGTAATGACTAACCGGAGCCATACCTACCTTGTGTAGGGTGCTATAAGGAGCAACCATACAATCGTCAAGGAATGCTGGCCAAAGACCAGGCTGCTGCAGTCAAATGAGGTATATATACAGGCGATGAGTCACAATAACGTGGCTGAAGTATGTTGATCAGATCACACACTAGAAGGTGAAGGGACGACGACGTTTCGGTCCGTCCTGGACCATTTTCAAGTCGATTGAGGTATGAATTACGGCTGTTGACCTGGCTAAATCCTGACCAGGTCAAGAGGTTCACTGACTGGCGGATCTAGTTCACAGAAAAAAACCCCCAAGAGGGATCAGGTTTTAACATGTGGCGAGGAAGGCGAGCCAGAAACCTGGATACTAGTGACACTGTGTGTTCCTGCTGCCATCTTGTGTAGAGAACAATTGTTGTGTGTATTGTCTGGGGGAGATGATGGAATTGGTGGTTTTGGCTTGAATTATGATTGCCCATTCCCTGACACATGTGTTCCCTTCATCCCCAGCCAACACATTATTAACTTGGTTGTAAAAAGTTTCCTGTTTGGAAGTACTGGTAGTGAAAGTTGGTGTTTTCAGTTGGGGAAAGCTTGGCGGAGTGGGGTTGGGTGGGTGGGGAAGGGGGGGGGGTGTTCGTGCGCGGAGTGGGGGTGGGGGTAAAGGTGTGCGGGTGGGGGGGGGGGAATTTGGGTGTAATTACATAAGTGTAGTTACAGGATGAGAGCTACACTCGCTGTATCCCGTCTTCCCAGTACTCTTTGTAATAAGACGCTTTAAAGCTACTGACATGGGGGAATGGGTGCGTGCGTGTGTACTCAGTTATATTCACCTAATAGTGTTTGCGAGGGTTGAGCTTTCGGCTCTTTGGTCCCGCCTCTCAATTGTCAGTCAACTGGTGTACATAGTTCTCGTGCCAGTTTGGCAGTTATATCCACATGTGAAACTGTGCGGGTCTGCTTCCACCATATCAGTTCCAAGTCTGGCTTCTTAGTGGCTCATTTGTGGACAAGTTTCCACCTATGTCCGCTCTTGCAATTCATGGAGTTTTTCCCATATAACTCATAGCTCTGGGACCAGACAGGTATGTGTTTGTGTGTCCTCTTAATAATAACGTCACTTTTCGCTCGTATGCGCGCTATGGCCAAAAATGGACGTAATTTGAAATTAAATCTGCTCATGAGTGATGTACTGTCCCGTTTTCTGTTTCAGTTCTCTGGCTTACTAGGTTAAGTTAGGAGAGGAAACTTTCAATTAACGGTTTTCATGACGTTTTGAAACATTAGGAAAATTTCCTGCCCTCCTAACCTACCAGAGAACCATTAACTTACTGTTTTGGAAACAAAATCCAATTTTTTGTTTATTTTCAAATTACGGCCATTTTCGGCCATACAGACAAATGGCCAAATTCAGACGTAATTTGTAAGAGGACAGGTTGTGTAGGGAAGGATTTTTTCTGTACTTCGAAAGTACAGCAGTATTGTTCGTTTCATAATTATTTGTCACTTAAATTGTTTAGCTGTCCAATTAATTGGAATCAGTGGTGTTGGAGTTGGCCAATCCTTATGAAGCAGTAATTGAACTGCATGTCACTGATAGTCATTTTGAAAGTGGTTCCGTAGCTGTTGAAACTCGCTACAGTTGTGTAAATAGTGACGGAGGAAATGTTCAGTTGGTAGCGGTAGTGGGCGTGTTTATATTACAGAGGGGAAAGGCGCCAAGGGAAAGTGAGCGGACGGAAAAAAGGGGAAACGTGACAGCTGCAGAATGTTGGTAATGTTAGTGTACAGGAGAATTAACTATTGTAAAAAATACTTTGTCAAATGCAGACGATGAGTCACAATAACGTGTTTGAAATATGTTGACCCGACCACGCACTAGAAAGTGAAGGGACGGCAACGTTTCGGTCCGTCCTGGACCATTCATTCACAAGTCGATTGAGAATGGTCCAGGACGGACCGAAACGCCGTCGTCCCTTCACTTTCTAGTGTGTGGTCTGGTCAACTTACTTTTTCAATTTATTCCACGGAGTATCATGATAATGGGCTTTGCCGCTTTTTATTACACGTTCGTAATTTGTAATCACATTGATCAGTGTTAGGCTAGCAATATTGCCATTTTCTTTACTAAATGAATTCTGCGTTTATTGTTTTGGTAAACTATGTTAATTATAAATGTGCAACTATTTTAGGAATTACATTTTCTTCAGTTTGTATAAAAGGGGGTATTACCTCTCATGCTACTGTAGGAACTCGTAGCCCCGTAGAAGGCAATGTATAATTTGAATAAATGTATATGTATAATTTGTATGTATATTTGTATAAATATAAACAGCAATGCAGTCTGTACCAGTAAGAGAGAATGTTCAGTGATGGAGGCCAGACTCTGGAGGCGAGCCTCGCCTAACTTTACAGGGCAGTAGGGCCGCCCCCCCCCCCCACTGGCATATGACACTCCCATACCCCCTATGTGTCATCTTGGGAAATGTCTCCAACCGTGGATAGACAGATATTCTCTCTTATATAGATTTGTTTTCAGTCACGTTATTGTGACATTGAATCCACAAAGATTTTTAATAAACCATTTGTTATTAGTGTAGGGACGAACAACGTCTAGAAGTGTTATGAGGCTTTTCAACATTTTTAATGTTAACGATGGCAAAATATGGTCAATGAAGAAATATTCATGTGTGGTTGAAATTGCCAGTGTTGGTGTCCTGCGGAGGCATAGCGGAGGCATCATCGAGGCATTCGCAAACATGCTGGTTATAATGTTAGTACGAATTGAATGTTTGGACCCCATACCCTTCAGAGTCATACATGATTACCTTTCAATTTTCTTCAGCAGTGAAATTAAGAGACCGGTGAATATAGAACAGACTGGTGATAATTGAAGTACAAGAAATATGTGGTTTAGTTGGTAGATGTGTAGTGTGTGGCAGTGAAGCAGGACAAGGGCAGGGCTCGGGGCAGCCGACCCAATACCCTCACCACCCAGGACCTGGATGGGTCATTTTTGGGTCACTTGTCATGGCGTACTTGGCGCTCTAGCTCATGGCTCCTGATTCCACCGTCATCTTGCTCTCCTCACGTGTCTGAGACGCGTCTCTGGTCAACCCCCCCTTCCCATATTCCCTTCCCCACCACCTCCCTCTCTCCGGCCGAACATCAAGACAATGGGGGTAAGTATATCTTGGTGGGGCATCCCTCTATACACTAGTGAGTACTGGTGAGTAATGGAACAGGTGTAACGTGATAGTGTCACGTGTCACCATTAGCATTCAATGGGTTAATGGTTGAGTTTGTAGGTAGGTGGAGTTATAAATTGATGAGTGGGTGAAGTGTGTTGATGAGATGTGGGACCGCAGTTGACTAACTGGTAAATGAGATGGGTAAACAGATGCCGTCCCGAAGATACATCTTGGTAGTTCTTTGGTCCGTCATGTCAAATGACGTGGGATAAATTGTAAAATAGATAAATAATTGGTTTACTGTTTTGAGATAAATAAAATAATAGATGGTACTTCAGGGTGACGGATGGATGTGATAAAAAGAGGGGTGGGGGGGGGGGTAGTGTTGAGAGATATCTGATGATATCAGTTGAAGGGTTGGCGCAAAGGCATAAATGGAATATTGTAATGGAGGGGGAACTATCAGGAGAAAGCGCCGAGCCTATATATTATTTTACGACTATATAGCACAGGAAAGGGATCTGGATAAGGGCGTGGGATGGGACGGGGGCAAGGAATGGTGCCCAACCGCTTGCACGGTCGGGGATTGAACGCCGACCTGCATAAAACGAGGCCGTTCCCTTACCGTCCACCCCAACTGGCTGGACATGAAAGGGAAGAGTGCATTAATTGTTGGTAAAGAAGGTGACTGATGAATTGAATGATGATTATTATGGAGTGAAGAATGAGACTGGGATGATGATAACAGTTTATGTTGATGGGTGAATTGTTCTGTTGTGATGGAGATAATATACCTGCCACGGAGATCCCTCTGGCTGTGGAATGATTATAGTTATGTAGTTGCTGGTGAAGTTTATATATATATATATATATATATATATATATATATATATATATATATATATATATATATATATATATATATATATATATATATATACACATCCCATATATACATTCCACTCATCCCATGAATTAAAATATTGGAATGTACTGTATTATGCAAATTGCTGATGACAATACTTGTGAGTAACTAGCTATCCCAATTAGTTATACTTTATAGCTCATAATCAAACTGATTAATGTAGGTCATTAGCTATTATATTGTCTTGTATGAGGTTAGCATAAGATACACAGAGAATTTCAACTTATGTGTAGTGTGTCAGGTCTACAACTCTTTTATGTATCAACTGATGGCAATACATATTTTGATGTGTTGTAGGATTGACATACATAGTCAACTATTTTATTATTCCTGTAATTTTATTTCCATGTTTTTAATTATTTTTATGCGATATCTTGATGATTTATAATATAGACATTGAGTACATGTGCTGTTCATTGTACCAATACTTTTTAGAGAAGATTCTTTAACTTGTTTCTTTACATTTCAGTTGTGTTTAACTGTTTGTGACCGGGTCTACACGTATTACACAACACACGAGGAAAACAGCAGTCATGAGGTGGACACAATGGTACTTAGTCTGGGTACCGCGCTCAAAAATATCTTCCCCGCTGTCCCTCTCACGTAAGTTTTCCCCTCGAGTCAGTTTGTTGTAATCAACACGTTTACATTAGAGTTCTGATGGAACAGAACCCAGTGGACTACAATTCCAAATGTTTCAGATTAAAACCGATCCTGTTATAGTTGCCTGCTTAGTATTGTATCCCATTGTTTTGAATACATTCTTATTGTGTGGAAAATAAATAAGCATTATTTTATTATCAAATTTATGTACACACAGCATTGTGCTGTGTACTCTATTCTATATTTAGAGTATAGATCAATAACTATGAGTTCATCTAATATCCCATCTCACAGCTAGGATGGTTAGTCATACATAGTATCAGGACAAAACGGATGTGAGTCAAGTCTACTTGCCTGTATTAGCAAACTTTGGGTAGAGCACTAAAATATCTTCCAATATTTGAGAGAATATGCAGTACAGTACAGGTAGTTGTGGAGCTCAATGTAACTCATACCATTACGTCAGGAAATATTTAAGGAAATAGTGTGTTAATTAAATCTGCATTGCAGAATGTTCTCTTGAGAAAAAGCTAACCTGGGTAAAGTTACAGTACAGTACTGTACTGCACTGCACAGTATAGGGATTGTATTTTGATAAGTTGGAAAATTTACCTGATACTGTATTGCAAGAAAACATTTACACGTGTAGGAGATTGCAGTATAAGTGCACTAATACAGTATATTGCATTTGTAAATTTTCCTGCAGACACATTATCCGTAAAGTGGACATCCAGCCCCCGAAACGGATGCAGCAGTTAGAAGAGCTTGAACGCGCAACACTGGGAGGGACAAGAGATATGGGACCGTGTGGCGGCTTCTCCACTCAGTATATGTGTATGTGCGACTATCATGCACTACCATATAGAGAAGAAGTAGCGTGGGATGTCGACACCATCTACCTCTCACACGATACTCGAGAGCTCTACTTACACGACTTTGATTATTTAGAACAAAAGTGAGTGGCATATATGGTTCTTGTTTGAAAATCTCACAAACTTGAGATTTTCTTTTAAGTCTTAATTTGGTCAGTGATCTTTCCCTGTCTAGTAAAAAAATTTCACATGTCTATAACAAAAAATCAAATGGTCATATTAAACTACAAACAAGGACCAGTTGTCTTCATATTTTGACACAAATGCTTTGGTTGAGGTAATTGCCTCGTGCACGAGTATCATTCACTGGATCACTTGCTGCTTGCCATCAGTTGCTGGACAACCCTCACTGCTTTATATCTACTTCCTACAATCATCATAGCAGTATTTTGTAAATGCTCTCAAGCTCATACAGCTTTTTTTTTTTTAATATTTCAGGGGAATGGACAGTAACAGGTAAATAAGCTCATTAAGTAGCTTGTTCTATAATGGATTGATGAGTGAGTTAAAAGCTAATAATGGCGCCTGCACCATAGTTTGAGCTTGAAGTTGTGTTTTTGATCCCTGATTCCATAGTTTTAGTGTAATTTTTAGTACCTTCCTTCCTTCTGCCTTTACTAAAAGCTTATCATTGCACTAAAAATCATTTGATCATTCATATTGCCATTTTACAGGACATGTATGCAACAAAAAATCTTAGTGTTAGATAATATTGTATTGCGTTGCAATGGCAGCACTTATAAGCAATACGGTATTTAGGTTTTAAAGCTACACTAGTGTTTACCTTCACTGTAGCACAGCAATGCAGTATGCAGTACCCAGTTAAAATATATGTAATATATGGCTCCATAATATAATCATTTGAGAAGCTTACTGAAAGTTAATCTGATAAACAGACATAGAATGGAAGTTGTTTTTTGTACTACTGCCTCAATACTCACATTATTGAGGCTTATTATGCACTTGGGTATCTCTGGTAGGTCAATACCTATCACCTTTGTTTATTTATATTTACTCAATAGTTGGATTCAATGTGATCACTTGAGAACAACTCATAATATTGAGTTACAAGTAACAGCAGTTACATATTATAATAAAAGTAAGCTTTCAGTTGAAATTAGGCACTACAACACTTAGTGGCCATTTTGAGAAGCCATTGTTTTTGGCAAGACGGGTAGAGGTAGTCATGTCAGTGTGATACTGTGACAGTAGATAAGCATCATCCTTATTATTATTATTATTATTATTAATAATAATAATAATAATAATATTATTATTATTATTATTCAGAGAGTAATCACACTAACGTGACTGCATAAATGAGGAAATTCTTTGAGGCTTCCACTGAAGTTGAAACATGGTTTCACACAACCCCCCCCTCCCCCCTCCCCATGTACTCTGGCTCTGTCATCTAGGAATGTGCTACGTCTGACACACCTCTTTCAATACACAGAGAAACTGGGTGGGCCTTGGAACACCCAGCGCACAGGTTAGAATCCTCATCGTGGCTCCTATGGGTTTTGTCATTATTGTAAATATTATTATTACACTACTGGTATTTCAGTACAGTATTATTATTTTTACTAGTAATACTGTTATTACTGTACCTGTTTCCCACTTTCATTGGGTTTTGAGGCATCAGTTCATAGAAAATACATTTGTCTAATATATCCAAACTATCTGAGTACTGTACAGTACATTGTCTTGAATTCTATTTGCCTGATTTTGAACTGTCTTTTCTTGACAATTTTAAAACTTATTCTCTTTATTCTCCTAACACCACTAATGCTTCTGAAATTGTCCATGTCTTTCACATTAGTTTCAAGTTTTTTTTATCACACGTACTATCGTCTCGTATCCAAACATGAAAGTTAGAATTATATCATCATGATGTTGCTCTCTGGTTACATCTTTCTCTTTCTTTTAACCAGGCTATTCATTAAATTAAGCACTTGCCTTTCCTGGCTCATTCTGCTTTGAATTTCTCTTTCCTGATCACACATCCAAGGTATTTAACCCTGTGGCTGCAGCACCTGTACAATATTTTGATCCCACACTTTTTTCTATAAAATTGGTCTAAAGAATTCAAATACCTTTACAGTATGCAAATATACAGAAAATAATATGGTTATTTCCAGTGGTACCATTAAAAAGAATAATTGAGTCTCTAATTTTTAACACTTTGGTGGTCAGGACTTTCATTGCATTCCTGACCTTAAACGTCCTGAGCTCCCTGGACTACTTACGAGCTGCTCAGCAATGTGAACAATGTTTACAGTCGTTTTATGTTTTCTAAGTTAATTGTTGGGTTATAACTGAGTTTGGTGTCAAAATCTTCGCAAATGAATGCTCTGAAGTAGGGGTTCCCAATCTGTGGTTCCGAGATGACATGTCATAGGGGTGTGACAACGATGAATGCTGCATTTTGATTCGCCAAAAATCATTCTGCTTATGAATAAGGGAAACATATGTTATACAGTGCTAACTTAATATGTGACATTACTTTTGTAGTGGATGAGAATGTAAATGAAAAGTTTTCAAGGGATGCAGGGCATAGAAAAGGCTGGGAACTTCTGTTCTAGAGAATATATGAAAGAACGAAAGTGTAATAATTATACATGGCAGTGATGAGAATATGAATGCTTATGAATAGAAATTGGATGATGTATTTTAGTGTCATCAGAACAATTACTGTCGGAGTATGGATGATGAGATTTATCATCGAAATGTGAAAGTATTTATTAATAGAAAAATGGTCTAATTAGCGTAATGCTAGATCCTAAATGTTTCCAAGACATAAAATATTATAAATACAAAAGATAAGCTTGATTGCCATTTTTATGAAAGGGATATGTTTTGTGTTCTGCTTTTATGTTAGATATGCAATACAAAGGATGTTTCCATATATACCATGAAAGGTCATTACAAAATTGTTTACATACAGTAGTACAAAATATATCATTTAAATATAAATACCAGTTTCAACTCATACCAGAAATGGTTGAGGGCCACAGGACTAACAACACTGCAAACAAGACTTGACAGAGCTGATCTCATGAAAACTGTTAGGATTCTGAACAATTTGGTGGATTTTGATCCAGGCTACTTCTTGAAATGGTCAGATGCAACACATACAAGGAGCAATGGCTTCGATCTCAAGAAACCAAAATGTAGGACAGAAAACAGGAAATGCTTTTTCACTGATAACTTTATAAGCCTATGGAACTTGCTGCCCTCCAAAACTGTAAATGCCAAAACACTGCTGCATTTCAAATTACATCAGGACAAAATCATCAGGACATATGGAAGTACCTTTGACAAGCTTCTGGCTTCCTATCTTTGTTGAGGCCACTAGGGAGACGGTGGCCTCAGGTGAATTCAGGTGAAACACACCTTTCTTAGGGGAGGCTCCTCTCCTTTCCTTGGAAATGGACTATGTTATGGTATCAGCAAATTGTGTAAGTGCATTAGAAAATTATTACATACAGTGGAACTGTCAGAGTACAATGATTGACTTCTTGGGTAGCCTCGCAACCTGTTGTTTCCACTTGTCAGACAGATGGCCGTTTGGTTTAAACCCCAACAAGTGTAAGGTAATGTAGAATGATATAAGGGGAGGAAACAGGAAGGAAGCTGCACTGTAAGCTTCTGCAGGTAGTTGGACAAGAGAGAGACTTAAGAGTAGATATTATACAAGGATTATCACTAGGGACACATGAAAATAGGATAATATAAAATATGTATGGAAAATTAGCAAGCACAAAAGTGGCCAATGAAGACAATGGACAAAGACAGCCTTTTCAATTTGAGAGGATATAAATGAAGATGACATGGGTGTAAGCTGGACATACTTGGCCCTCATACACTGGCTTAAACCATGCCAGCAAGAAATTATAACCATTCGTACATAGTTAGGGTGGTCAACAGGGATGCGCTAAAAGTGGTCGTAGGTTAGGCCACGTGCTTCCACTCCTTCAAGAGCAAGTAGGACAAAGAAATAGGTGATCAAGAAATGAAAATGCACCTGATTAAAATAACTAGGAGATGGGGGCCTCATTACTTAGGCACTGATTGTTACTTACTGATAGGTAATCATCCACAAAATCAGCCACCCATGCACAGCACTTGCCCACACTCAATTTTTCCCTTCTTTTCTTGTATATGTCCATATTGTAAGATTTGTATTATGTTTGTGTTGTGAGGCATCTGGTAAATGGGACCAGAGATACCATTCTGGATTGATTATGATAAAAAAAACATCTAATGACATTTAAATTGTTATACTATTGAATTTGCCTTCACTGCTTCCTCCTTAAGTACATTTAAATCCTGTACTGCTCCTGACACTGGAGTACGTCCTTACATCTCTCCGACTCGTTAAGTGTTCAACTTAATTTTTTACCATTTCATCTTGGTCTTATAATCTCTCAAACATTCTCTCAGTATCAACTATGTTGATTTCCCCAAGCATCTTATATGTGCTCCATATATGCATGTACAAGTGTGAGAGAGCAATATATCAGTTTTTAATTCCAATAAATAAACCTGTAAGTTTTCAATAGAGACTGATAATGTAAGCAGAGATATTGAAGACTGATAAATTTATTCTTTAATTTGTGTACCTAAAAAAGTATAAAATAAATACTGTACTGTAATTGTAAATATATGCTAAATACTGTAAAAAAACAAGTTCATCAGTGTGAGACAGATTCTTAGGTGAAGATGTGCAACCATTGAATCTTAAACTTATAAATGGAGGTCAGTTGGAAAATATATCATGGATCAGGTTTTCCCTTTCTTGTTGACAGATGACGGGAATATTTGTGCATCTGTTGCACAATACCCTTTACCTAGAATACCAGACTCGTGAAATCCATCTATCTTCATTATTCTTTGAACAGGTTGAACTTGGAAGGTGATATGGATGTAAAGATTAGGACTTACTTGAATATTTTTTTTACAGTATAGGTAAGAGTAATGAAATGTTTCATCAATAAATAATGTGGGAGTGCTCTCAGTGAGTTAAAGGGACATTATGCTGACAAGATGGTTGAGGAAATACTGAATGCTTGAAGAAATAAAGTTGCTTTAGGGATTAAGTAATTTGCTTAGTTATTTGGAACTTTGTCATTAGAGAATGTACTAGAAGGTTGAAAGAACACTTAATAAGGAATAATTACATAGAAAATTTGAAGAATTAGCAGATATGCAAATTTTGATAATGGATCTAATAAGCAAGCAAAAATAAATTTATAGTAAAGTATTTAAGAACATAAAAGTTTTCATTCCATTAATTGTTGTTTTCAGGATATTAGGCCTGCGTATGTTTAAATCTAGTTTTGTTTAATAAATTGTATATATTGGTTGTTTAATAAATATTATACATTAAAACCAATTATGGTTCAAATAGAAATGATATATTTATTATGAATTCAGTTTGGTAATTTGTAATACTCTGAGTCTGGTTTGATTAATTAAATATTGGGTTTATTTTCCAACATTGAGTATCGTGTGATGAATGGAGAAGCTGGGAAGAGGAAAACACGTCTCATTATATTGCCTACAGCATTTTGGCGTGGATGTTTTGATAGTAAAGTGGGAGAAAGATATGTTCTCTGCCTTACCTTGTCCTTAATTACATGTTCAGGTCTTTAAATGGAGGTAACATTGAGGTGTTCAGGAGGGGATGTCAGGATGTCTTGAGCACATCAATAAATGGTGTTATCAGTAAGTTGTGTGAGGAAGAAATGTGTGGTATACATATATACTGTATATATAATATATGAACCATGATGCAACTTTTATTATGTATCATGGTGTTATAATGTTGAATTCCCTACATTTTGGATCCATCTATCCTTGTAAACTAAAGCAACACTTTTTATTTAAAGCTTCAGTAATTTCATATGCAAAAGTTTTACATCATATTTACTTCTGGATATATTTTTTTGCTTTTTAATATGGCTTGAAATCAGCTACATATAGTATACAAAAAAAGTATGAACTTTTTAGTAGCATTGATATTTTAAGCATTTGTAAATATTTAGGTTATATTTCAAGAATAACGTGTGTTGTTGCGAAGTGACACTAGTAACAGTGGTGGTTGTAGTGTGCACGGTTTGTCAGTCAGTGCATGCTAATGTTGACATTAGCTAGATGACCCCATTAATTGGTTGTAGAGTACCAAGCATTTGCCACTAGGTAGCACACAAGCTCTAACCTACTTAAAAGGCAGCTTTCAACTCTTTAACAATATAGTACCATTATTAATTAAGGTATTAAGGTACTGAGGCTGAATTGCATTGCAGTTGTCAAAAATGACGTATTTGGCAAGTTCACATAGCTCCTCAAGGAAAGGTTACTTTATATCTATGAAAGGTAGTCGAATCCACCTCCAAGAGCTCTTGGTGACTTAATTGTGCATATTTTATAGCATTTTTTATAACTGTTTATTATCTTTTGCTTGACGTGCATTAAACTTACCTTAGATGTTATACATGAACACGTTGAATGGTATAATTCTTTTAACATTTTTCAGTTCAGACATGTCATTTTGCACTGCTCAAGATCAGTCAGAACCAGATTTTTGTATCTGACCAAAAAGCATAACATATTGGGAAATGCATGAGAGATCAAGATAACATTCCTGTCATGCCTGAAAAGTTCTTGTGTTCCAATGGAGATAACTTGTAATTACTGCTATTTGACGTGATAATGGCATTACATATAACTCCTCCCCATAAGAGAGATAGTAAGACTCTTCAGGTCATATCCTGGCTGATATCCCTGGGAAGGGGCATCAGATTGCAGTAGTAATTCTCCTCCCATAACCTCAACTCTATAAACAATAATTTCAAGCTAAACATGATAAAAATATGTACTCCTCAGGGAGCCATCATTTGACTTCCCACAGTATGTTTAGTGTTAACGTATTCATTCGTATGCTACAACTCCATTTTCTGCTCTTTTAAATATTTCAGTCATAGCTCTGTAGTTTTCATGTACTCTTGTTCTCTGAAGTGCACTTCTCTCATGTTTGATGTATATATTATCTCCTCACTCTCTGCATCACTTACACCTTAATTAAATTCAATTTTAATGATACTGTACCCAGTTTTTTTCTGAGTACAATACCGCTCTTGGGTGGTTTAGACATGATGGATAATTTAAGCTTGGCAGTGTGTGTATGGAAGTGTAGAGGAAGAGGGAGGATGTGATAGAATAGCAGGTGGTCAGTTATGTGGGTACAATGTATTAATATTGGGTCGCAAGTGGGGAGTGTACAAAGCTGTACGAGGATAATAACGCTTTCTTGTCTGCCACTCGCTTGATACTTGGCAAATACTGTACTTGCACTCTCTCTGAATATCTAATAAAGTAAATGTCATAAAATAAACAGTAGTTCAGAAACTAGTGACTGAAAGGAATATAAAATTTGATTTTCAGTTTTCGTTTTAATTCATTAAAATCCGTCACTGGTTATACAAAAATAACATTGTGTAAAATACTGTATGTAGCAGACTCTAGTGGTACTGAAGAGCAAATTTGTCCAGGGGAAGAAACTACTTATAAGAAAAATTCACCTCTTTCTTATCTCTTAAGTATATAAATGAATTGGAGCTTATATTTATTTAATAAATTTATGCATCAGTCAATTTTTTGCATTATCCATAATGTGGTTTTATATTGTTAACAAGTAATTGATATGAATGATTTCATTCCACAGAGACCTCATCCCTATCATCAGTGCCCTCGAGTATAACACGTGGTTTCGCAAACTCCGGGCCAGCCACAGTAAACTTTCACATGAAGCAATAGAGCGAATTTTACATGTGGTCAGCAAGTCACTTAGTTTAGAAGAAATATATCTAGATAATATTGGTGCCAAAGCGTAAGTATTAATGCCTGTTTTAGCTAATACTGCATATAGAGACAAAATAAGGGTAGAAAGCAAATATTATATCCACATAACCCAACCCATACATATGAAATCAAAGTCATTCCGTTTCGATATGTCCTGTTCCCTTATCAAGTCGTGACATGATTATGATTTGATAAGAGTGCAGGAGGGACCAAAACAGTCATTTTCATTTTATTTCATGTGTGGGTTATTTGTTTTTAAGAGATGTAATTGTGACATTCTCTGCATATCATGCACATAGCATGCAAAGTACAGGTACAGAGCTGAGAGATTTAGGTTTCAAGGAATGGCTACTAGAATTATACCTCATGTCACTGGAAGACAGAAGACTTAGAGGAGACACGAGTACCACCTATAAAATTCTCAGAGGAATTGAAAGGATAGATAAAAACTTTTGGGCACAGGTGGAACACAAACAAGGGGATTCAGGTGGAAAATTAGTACTGAAATGACCCACAGAGACATTAGAAAGAATTTGTTTGATGTCAGAGTAGTTAAAAAATAGTATACGTTAGGAAATGCTGTGGATGTAATGTATTATAATTATCAAAAGAAGGCACTAAGCTGGAGGGACTATGTAGCACCAGTGATGTGGTGGAGGCAGACTCCATACATAGTTTCAAATGTAGATATGATGGAGCCCAGTTGGCTTGGGAACCTGTACACCAGTTGATTGATGGTTGAGAGATGGAGCCAGAGAGCTGAAACTCAACCCCCACAAGCACAACTATGAGAGTACAACTAGGTGAATAGTGTCATACTAACTAAGGTCGCTTTATTGTTTGTGGATTAATTTAGTAAGTTGAATACAGTAAACAATATTCATAAGGCATTAAGCATTTTGTCATATTAAGTTCAATTTATACAGTATAACACAGGAATAAGAGCAGATGATAGTTCCATGAGGCACCAGTTACAAGTGTATTACACTTCATCATTTTCAAAAGTTGCATTATATCCTACTTAGAAAATATTAGATTATGTATTATAATATTTTAAGACATACTAAGTTCACCAACAATAAAATATTTCACGATAATTCTTATCCAATGAATGTGTCAATAAACGAAAAAAAGTACAAAGTGCTACCTCTATATTGTGCTATTAAGAATAGGTCAATCAACGTGCATTAGTTTATCGTAACAGATAAAGTAATAATTGCCATGCAATATTGAACATATTTGTCACTTCATTTACCAGATATTGAAGAAATTTTTGTGGATAATATTCTGTTGTAGTTATCTGTTAGTTAAACTAAAGTAGATAAAACTATCTGCATAAAAACTTTTAAAATTGTAACTGAAACTTTATATTCCTTTCAGAGAATTTGCTAACAAGCTGTCATTGGCACTTTTGTCCAATAGCAACATTCCATTGCAGAAACTTGACCTCTCGCACAATCCACTTGAGGACAAAGGTAAGTCGCCTGGATTGCAAATTTATTAATGGTATTCATTATTTGATTCATATTGTATAGTTGATGATTGAAACAGTGTATGATAAAGGGGTTATCTTGACTGCTATGGCATCCTTGCACACTTTCTTACCCTTACCTGTATTGAGTTTTTCCTTTTTGAATGTTACAAAAAATTCATTGTCTGTTAGATTATCTATAGATATTTCTGTTAATGTATATCATTAATAAGGTTTTGAGTGTTGGTGAGAAGGTCATCTGTGTGCTTGGCATACTGCTGCTGCAAGGTCAAGCTCTGGCTTTGGAGTAGTGGACTGTGAATAGTAAAAACAGGTGGACATTTCATTCTGGTGAAACCGAGTTCTTTTCACGTGTCTCTCTGGGGTCATATTAGTGCAAGACTGATAGCAGGATAATCAGTACAGAATGGCCTAAAAAAAAAGGCTCCTTAAATTACACTCAAAACTCTTCCAAGCACTATTTGGCTTCAAAGGAATTGCAAAGAATTGCTATTGCTAAATGTTAATAGGCCTGCTTAATCCCTGACTGCCATCAAGAGGGACCCAGATAAAATTGATGGAAAGCATCAAGATACTGGTGCAAACCTGTTATGAAATGGAATATTATGAACAGTTGTCTGAACAAACACAGTTCATTCCGAGATGGCATGTCCCTGAATTTAAATTCTTGTTCTTTGCCAGGAAAGAGGGATTCAAGTGGAGACACAAGATGTCCTCCCATAGAAACAAAATAAATCAGAATGCTGAAGCAGATCACGAAGATCACTAACCCAGTTACCCATAGCTATGGCTAATAAAAACAGAGCCAGAAAGTCTATTGAATAAAAGTTTAACACTAAATCAAGAGACTTGGTGGGTTCAGACAATTTGAGAATTACGGATGAATGTCTTGCCATGTTCCATAAAAGGTGAAGTAGAGAAAAAACATCTCCGACAGAATAATTCAACAAGAAGTGGTGGTGCTGTTACGACCTGTCTTTCTGTTAAGCATATATAAAGATAAGAGGAACAGATTGTTAAAATTTGTTGATGACAAGATACTGTACCAATAGACTTCCCACCTGGTCACTTCATATTTCCCATGAGAGGCTCAAACATGATAAAGTTAGTTGCACATCCACCTGCTCCATAGATAACAGGTACTATGAGCAAAGGCAGTGTGAGTGAAATAACAAATAATTAGTAAACAAATTTATCTACAAATAATAGAACAAAGTGTGACCTGTGGTAAACAGGATGTATCACACCCTCACACTATGGTAATTTGTAAATCAAATGCATCTAAAAGGTGTTTTTCCCTGCATCTATAATAACATTGCAAGGAGTTACAAAAGAAATAGAAAATTTGTAGAAGAATATACATTACTGAGGCACTTAGAGAAGATGAAAGAAAAGATAACTAAAATTCCTTGGTGGTCCCTTTGGTGTCAAGTGGCACTTGGAAGAATTGAGCCTTTTTAGTGTCATTCAGAGCTGAATTAAGAAATCACCAGCTTCTCTCTTGCACCAGTATGATCCAACAGGAATGATTAAAAAGATTCCTGCTGCACTTGTGCGTAGGATTAATCTGCCCTGACTACAAGTCCATGGGAGTAGTAGAACCTTGCCTTAGGCAGACACTGAGTGGTACACCAATAATTTATTCTAAATGTTATTCATCTAAAAAATATGATTTGTATATAAATAGAAAAATAGAATGCATAATCATTAATATAAAAGCTACCTGTTGGATGACCTTGTTAACATAAAGAAGATTGACCTTACATGACTGATCTGTACCCAGTGACAGACGGATTGATCTGGGCTTCATGACAGTGAACCTGTTAAGCTGTGGTGGTGTGATTTACCAAATTTTAATCCTGTGAGTTATAGCTGGAGTCCCTCACTTTGAATTTTGTTGTTCACAACACAGTATTTTTTCTTTTTCTTGAAAAATACGTGTACTGTATATTGACTGTATTGTTAAACTGCAGTAATGATCCCCCCCTTTGTTTTTTCTTTCATGATAATGAAATTAGGAGTCCCACATAACATGCTTAGGGAAATATTTTGTGATATGAAGTAAAGTACTGTATTGAAAAAAAAGGGAAATATAAATTAAGAGTTAATTGTTACATTTTGTAAAAAAAAAAAATACTTATACGAGTACAGTACTAACCAAGAAGAGAAAATAAAGTAATAGAAGTATTAAAGAGGTAATGGAAAAAGGTACCTTGAATTTATTAGCTCTTTTTATTTGTTTAAAACTTTAAATTTCTATTCATGGTTAATGTATTATTGCAAAGATTAAAGGAAGAACTGTACTGTATCTTCAAAGTGAGATATATTTGGTGAGTAAAGAGGCATGGCTGGACTGATGTAACTGAGACTAATGTTGATTGGAGCTCCATGTTGCTCCATATATCTTTGATCCCATTTTCACATGTGAACCTTTACCATCCTTTCGAGCAGGTCTTCTCCCTCCCTCATTAAAGAGAAAAATAGGGAAGTAGTGGTGGTGATAAACAAAAAAAAGTATGATGATAAACCGTAACAAATTATAGAGTGCAGGAAATCATTCAAAATAAGGGATTCCTGCCAATGCTGGTATTGTAATGTATTCTTTAACAGTATCAAATCTGCGCAATATAATTGCAACATATTGGAGGGAGAGAGATTATTGGAAGATGGAACTAAATCCAATGTTGGGATGCCATAAGTACAATGAGAGAACAGTGTAAACATCCTTGGTCTACGAATCATCAATCTCTTGCCAAATAATGTAAGAAGTATCACCTGGAGTAATAGTGGAGGATTTCAAGAAGGAACTACACATGTTTCTGCCAGAGTTATTGGATCATCCTGGCTGTGATGACTGCAGAGACCTTCAGGCTATAAAGAAAGGAAGCAATGGTAGAAGATTACTGGAACAATCAACAGGAGTGATTTGCTGTTACAGTGTGCAGTTCATTAATAAAGAATTAACATCAATTGCAAGGGTGTTCCTTCAAACTAATTTAGTTATTTGCAGTTACATGGAATGGTTAAGCAAAATCTGACCCAATTGTTTTATTTTCTTTGTTTTGCCACGAGTTTGCATTCTTTTTGTGATTTCATTCCAAATAGTTATTGTACATCAGGATATGATTCCTGAGAAATTAAACAACCTGTCACGAACGGTTTCTAATGCAAAAGTTGCTAGCTGAAAATGGCTGTGTAGGGGTGGTACATGGGACAGTTGATACCACTTTAAAAATTCAGATTTCAAACATTTTATTTTTACATCATTCTTTTCCAGATTGACTATGAAACATGTACAAAAAATAGTGTATGTTGTTACAATGCACAACATTATTTACATATGACTTTGTGATGTTCACAGACCCTAACCAACAGTTATGCATACAGGTTATTTTTTTATGGAATTATATAAATGCATATAATTTTAAATTTTTACTGTTTAATTTTACATTAAAATCATTTTCTTTTTATTTTCAATAATTTTATGCTCTTCACAATGAATACTAATTATAATTATTGCCACCGGAATCCCTGGAAATACCAGCGTTCAGATTTATCAGTGAAATGGTTAATTTATATTTAGAAGCGTGGGTAGTGTTAGTAACATGAATGGATGTGTGGAGTGCCCTAACTGCATAATTTAATGGAGGTTTTGTTTGGGCTTTACTGCTTTATAATAGAAACAACAAGACAGGAATCAAAACGGGATAGAAAGACATGTAATAATTTTTGTTTCAATGCATTTCCTCCAACAGGTTTAAACAATCTGTGCGGCCTGGTAGCCAAGCTGTCTCCGGTGGCTGGGGGTTTGTTACCAATTTAATTGCTGTTATTCTATTGCAGTACTGTACCATTACTTGCAAATTATGCTGTTCTTTGGCTGACTGGGAAATTACTTACCTTTGGGATGGCTATGTGATTATGCCTCGTGTTCCTGAAGTAGCTTGGGATGCTAATTTGACTCTCAAATCTCGATCATTTTATTCACTGTGATTGTAGAAAGCTTTTATGTTGTCTTTGCTAAATGTTTTTTATTGTTATTTACACGTGTACAGCCACCGAAACACACACAGACACACACACGAATGAAGGTGGTGGAGGCCAAAACCGTCAGTAGTTTCAAAGCGATATATGACAAAGAGTACTGGGTAGATGGGACACCACGAGCGTGGCTCTCATTCTGTAATTATACTTAGGTAATTACACGTAAGCCTGCAGTGGCGTTCACATTTCAGATCACTGAATAGTAGTATAGATGACAGTAGAAAGTACAGTACTGCTACGGGAATAGGGTGATAAATCGTTGGAATCATCTTTAGGAGGCAACATTTGGCCAAACCACAGAAACAACAAATTTGAAAAAAGTTTTTTTTTTTTTTTTACAAATTGCTTGAATGTAACAGTGCTGATTCTTTGGGATTATGTATTGAATACCACTTTATCCCATGAAAGTGGAGAATAAGAACAAACATGCTCATAAGATGTACTGAAGTTATATTTTGCAAACAGAGTTGTAGATGCTTGGAACAAATTAAGTGAGAAGGTAGTGAATGCCTTAAAGAGCAGCAGTTTGAAGTATCATATGTTGAAAATTATAGGGAAGACAGGACATCATAAACCTAGCTCTCTCATCTTGTAATTACACTTAAGTAATTACACACAAACAAGCACGCGTGATAGAGAGAAGAGACATAACAGATAAGGGTAAAGTAAGGTAACTGGTACTGGGTGATTTAAATGTGCAATGAATAAATTGCAGACTTAAGAGGCAAGAACAGAAGCCATATTGACAGGCAAATTTGTAAATTTCGTCCTGGAGACATTTATATATTACGATTAAGACAGGCCATGGGAGTAAGGAAAGGGGACCTCTCATTATTGCTGAATTTAGCATTCATCAGGAAAGAGGAAGGCATCTTTAACCTTCAGTACATGTCTTATTAATTAATTAGACAAGAATTTATATTTAAAAAAATATAAATTAATCTTATTCATTAATCATTAATATCATTATTATTAATCTTACCCTTTCGGTCATATTCAACAACATGTGATTACATTCATGTATAGTATCTGAATGTATATATACTGTACATACATACCAGGTACATACACACATATATATGTATATTAAATAATATGATGTCTTCTACTAAAATTTAAAATATGTGATGAAGCCCAGTTGCACTAAGAATAAAATTTCGAGGTTTGATGGTATGCCGACTCGTCCTATTGTAAGTCTCTTAGATATTTTTATAATGGTCAGTTGTTTTGTATGGGACTTTGTGGGTTACTAAATATTGTAAGCATGTTCTCTAGCTTGTCATATAACATTATAACACAACTGTATGGGTCTCAAATAACCAAATAACACAAAGGACTGTTTTATGTACAAATAAAAGTGAGAATTTGTAACAATCTGTACACCTTCTAATTGCTGACAAGTATTAAGTGAAATTTGTCAATTTCATATATTTATTGTATAGTTAACCATGTACAGTACTTACAGGGACTTGCTCTCTTGGATAGTTCCTGAGTGCGTTATTTTATCAGTTAGTGTTGGGACAGAATGACAGATTTAAGGGAGCATCTCCATCTTTAATTCTGTGGTTGCGCTAAGCAATATTAGTTGATTCACAAAAATATGTACTGGAACGTTTTAAGTGGCCTGATTCTGCATGCCTAGGAAAGTATTTCCAAAATCATGTAAAGATCGAACTCATTTTCTGACCTTCAAAACATGCTGCAGAGCCCAGTAAATGGTGGTGGTGATTGGTAGCAGTCTCAAATGTCACCACATGCAATAACAATACAACTCTACAAATATACTCCTTTTTAACCCTCACATTCTCTCAACTCAAATTTTCTTTTTATTATTGAGGTAAGTTATTTTTAATGTTGAAACAAGTTTCACGCAGTTTTCTCGGTGTTCATTCAATTAGCAGCATAACAGCCACTATAAAATGTGCAAATCGTTTTGCTAAGTTCCAAATATTCCTGTAGTTAATGTTTTTCATATTTTTTAAAATGTCTAAATTTTTTCAAAATAATAATTTATATTTTTAAATTATTTTGAGAGCATCAAATTTCTGTTGAACATTTGTTAAACATATTTTAGTTTACACTGATGCCAAACATGACTGTTAAGTATTAAAATTTGTTCAATATATTACTTAAAAAGTAGAATATACTGTAAAATTTAAAGTTTTGCTTTAAAAGATATATTCATTAAATAACACACAAACAAGTGTACTAATAAAGGTGGGGATGCTCCATTAACCCTCGGGATAGGGAGACAAGTGGGAACATCACTATCTAGTATGTACGTCAAGCACAACTGTTAAATTAGACACCCAACCCACATCTCTGAAAATATAGGAAGTGAAGACATTTCGGTTTGTCCTGGATATATCAAATCGTTTACAGTAATTCCTTCACATAACTTGATAATGGCCCAGGATGGACCAAAACATACATTTTAAATATTCTGCAACATAAAAATAGTGGAAGAAAATATAAATAAATATTGCCAATTTGAGTACAGTATTTCTTATTTTGGAGAAGAGCTAATTAGTTATCATATTTTGTGGTTGAGTTTTATATGGCAAAATTGTAATTTCAACCTATTTCATAATTATCTACCAGTAGAATTTGACTGTACAGCATAGAGATATTACCATCATTACTAATATTTCTCATTGCAAAACCTGTTAACCTTATATCTGATAGGTAGTTCCATGATCCTCTAACAGTGTAATTGAATCTGGCTCATCAGCTTTCCCATGTCCAAAACTTATTCTTTTGCTCAAGGTTTTTCTGAATAATGCAGTATTTCTGGCACTTGCATTAACCCGAACTTCATTGTCTCTTGAACAAAACTCATTGAAACACTCCAATTTCAAAATGAAAACATGTCATATTATTTTATTTCCTAAACAGGGACTTTCCCATTCCACAAACTATTATTTCTCTTGGTTAAGATTTTCCAATTAAATTGGTTATTAATTCTGTAGGTGCAGTATTTAAGAATATATATATGGCAATTATACAGTTCTTATTGAGTAAAACCTTTTTGATAAACCAAGATATTTTTGTTAAGCAAACACTATCTCATCCCCTACAAGCACAACTAGGTGAGTACTATATTGTACCACCAACTGTCTGTGTGTTCAACAATTTTTTCCGACTCCCGAAAATTTCCAGTCTGCCACAGTCAATATGAGCAAGGTCCCATTGTGCTTGAATTATTGTTTGTTCTTGTAGCTAAAGTTGCTTTATTTTCTATGATTGCAATTAACTCCAGGTCTCCAGTACTTCAGTTGCTTTACATCAGATAAAGAATACACACCATTGTAAATTGTCCCATGTTTGTCTAGTAATTAAGCAACTTCATTCACTGGAGTCAATTTTACATTGGGATTAAATGATTGGAAAAGTGTCATAATTGTGCTATTGGTTGGTTAGTTATTCTAATGTGTTGGATGAGGTTTGGCAAAGTTTTAATAAAGAGAAGTTATTAAGAGTAGACTCAGTGTTGTGTGTGGGGGAAATTGGGTGTATGTGAAATTTGTATTTATATGCATATACAATATATAGGTATAAAACTATAGACAAGCAAGGACTTATAGTGAATATTATTACAATGTAATAAGACTTTGCAATATGGATGAGTTTGAGCTAATACCACCCTGTCACTTCCTAAGACAATATCGTGCTCTCACAAGGATGAGTTAACACATTATTGAGATGATTGCAACACGTTCCCTGACATTGTTAAGACTTTTCAACAGCCTCTGCTGAACCATGAATGGGGACAGATTAACACTAGAGATCTCTCTCCAGCCTGCAATGACCTCCAGAAGTTTCATTCACCAACACTTAAAATCAGTGATACTCAGTCTCAAATAATAGATGGTGAATTAGGCATTGTAATTGGTGCCATTTTAGTAAAATAAAAAAGTTTATAATATATCTATGTTAATAAATATAATGAGAGCATTTATAATATAAAACATTTTGGAGTAATACAGCCCTCCCCTGTATGGTATTAGAACAGTCTGAATTTCAAGATTTTGTTCGTCACCATCAAAATAACCCATTTCTACTACTCAACAGGATTATAGAGATATTGTATATCATGGTGTTAAGAGTGTTAACCCAGAAAATAGTATACGCAATCCCTGAAGCATGTTAATAATTGTGTTCCTTCTTTTCTTTGCAAATAGGTGCTATACACATAAGTAACCCCATTGGTCGACAAGCTAAAGGTCTTAGTCACCTTAATCTTTCCCAGTGTGGGCTCACGGGTAAAGGTGTCAACATGTTAGCACATTCCCTCTCAGTCAATAAGGTGAGTTTATTGTTCCATTTGATAATTGTAGAAAGGCCTTGTGGAGAAAAATAATGGTACAGTATAGTTTCATTTCTTTAATATTTAGTTTCTGTTCAATAAGCAGGCCAAATACGGTACTGTATTGCCTAAAAATGTAGAATGCTGGTACACATTTTGATGTTACAAAATTGTTCTATTTTCATAGAATTTATAATAATTTATTTTGAGAATGTAAATTTGTATAATTAATACGGAATATAAACACCCAAACACAGTGGAGTTGTCGGTCAGTGTGCATTGGTAGTTAGCTTGTGATATTACTAATAAAAATATTAAGCACAGTAAAAGTTTGTTTATAAAGGGATAAGTAAAGTAACATTGTTCATTGTAAAAATACTGTGCCTTATTATATTGTGTGATATTATTCTGATTATCCTTATTCTTATCTTGCAGTATATGTGTCAAACTTTAACATTCCTGAGCCTAGCTGGCAACTCCTTGCGAGATGATGTCAACAACTTGTACAACTTTTTAGCCCAACCCAACACTCTCAAGACGCTTGACCTATCTGCCACCGAATGTGCCATTGATGCCGTGAGTCCCATGAAAATCATTCCTTTTATATGTTCAGTTAGGCTCATGTTTATGTTGACCCTTTGCAGATAATTAGCCTTTTACTGGATTGGCCTCCTCAAAAGTTTCCCAGAGCTTAAGCACTGGTACGGTTATGCCTTCAGATCTTATCACTCTCCCGGAGACTTCAGCAGATCTATTTGGAACTAGGACCGGAATTGGGTTTCTCATTGAGGAGAATGAGGATCAGAGCGCGACCCCAAAAACTGAAGAAATCGACGAGAAAGTCCAGTTGAAAGAAAACAAAACGACAAAACCCACTGCTTGAAAGAAATACATAAAAAAAGGAAGACACTGTAAATGATAGTTGGCAACAGGTAAACAACCCTAGCTCCGACTTCCCCAACTGCTACGTGCCATTGTCTAGATCCACTGGCCCAGATGCATCACCTTTCCCTGGTGTCATAACAAATCAAAAGCACCTTCAATGTCTAGTGCAGCAACACAGCTGATCATGAACTCATCTAGTGACTAATGCTACTTATTGGGGAGATTCTTCAAGAGATCATCAGATAATTACTATTCCTGAAATTATATTGTTGATTGTGCAATAACCAATGATGTTCAAAGAATGTTATCATTTGTTGTCAGATTGTCTCAAGAATTTTGCCAGTAACTGACAGAAGTAAAACTTTTCTGTCCTTGCTCACCATTGACTGGCTCATTCTTCTGCAAACATGAACTAAAATGGTCTCCTTCCATAGGGATGTCACGAGAACACAGGCTGCCAGCCATGACCACAGGGGTAAAAACCAAAACCTACCCAGAGACATTCAGCAAGTGCCAGAAAGAGGTACATGTATCCTCCCCAGTGGGTAAAATGATCAACAAAATGCTAGAAACTAAACCAATGCACAACTTAGAGAAAGGAACCCCAGAGCCCAAAAGAGGAGGGAAGGGATAGGTATGAGAATTCACACTTGTCCCTCTTCTCCAAATCAGCCCGTGGAGTCAAAAAGCACTAAAACATATCTGGGAAAGCTGCATGCAACAAATCTGAAGCAATTTTCAAATCTGGAGAATTTTCAAGCAGCAAATTCTCTTTTAGGTACCAGATATACATGTTGAGGCAGTGGCAGATCAAGAACCTGGGTGACCTGGGCTGCCATCTAATGGCAGTCTGGTGACATAGTGCTACCTACTGTTATTTGTCTCATTTCTTGCCTTTTTTTTGTTTTGTTCTGGAGCAATGATTTTTGTTTTTGTTTTGCCAGTGACATTCTGGGTAGTTTTCTTGGTTTGGGTAGATCTTTGACCTAGCTCCTCTCTTCTCTTTGTACAAACCCGATTCTGGTAGGCTGTGCTTATCACCGGGGCCTGGTACACTTTTAAAGGCTCTTGGGCTCCAGAGCACGAAGCACCACGGAGCTACTGAGGGAGTTGGCCCAGAAATGTAGACTAGTTAAACAAATGTGGTAGCAGGCTTGTCCTATGCTTCCCTAATGATTTTTGCTGGCTTAGAGCTCAGTGCAGGAAGGGGTTCAGCTGGCCACAGATCCTTAAATGTTCACTCCTGTTCACCCAGTAGAGTAAGGCTTAAGATGCACTTTGGGGAAGAAAGGCTTCAAATCTCTTAACAAGAGTCGATCATCTCCTGTGTCTACTTTTTAAAGTAATAAAACAAAGTGACAAACCAAGTATTTACCAGTACAGTATTTCAAATCCAAAAATTATTCCCTTTCATCCATTTTATATAGTACTGTATATTTGTGTCAAGGGAGTAATGTTAAAAGGTATTATGGTACAATACTAATATTTATAATAGAGGGAATCATCATATAATAGTACAGTAGTGAATGAAGGGAAATGCTCCATATAAATTATGAGAAAATAGAATAATACAAGTGTATCTGTAGATATTTAAATGTATGAATGTTCATATAATTTTTTTTTTTTTTCTAGGTTTTTGGTGCATTATTACGAGGGTGTACAAGTAGTCTAGCTCATCTCATCCTCTCCCGCAACAGTTTTGGCAGCAAGAAAACTCGAGAAATGTTGCCTTCCTTCAAGCAGTATTTTACCTCTACCTTGGCCCTAAAAACCCTCACACTCTCTCAATGTAAACTTCCTGCAGATGCTCTCAAGTAAGTCCAAGTAGCAGTAAGATATCATGATTTTACATTATAGAAGCATTGAATATTGAGAGTAAGATGGACATCACAAAAGTGGAAGATTAGCAGTAACATGTTTCAAATGAAATAAAAAAAAAATTGTCATTGGTACAGTATTCGTTACTTGATGTTATGTTGAGGGAATCACCAATTTCTTCAAGAGTAAAACAAACAAAAACCCAAGTCCTGGGACAGACACAAAGTTGACTTGACTACCTAATCACAAAGACAATTGTAGGCTTGCATATGCTTGAAGGCTGAAAAGATAAGATGTGTATATGATGTTGAGAAGTTCATTTATTTATTTATATAAAAAGATACATTGGGTTTGTGAGAGTACATAACATTAGTGTTCTTACACACAGAAATCACAATAGCGTGATGCATCAAATGAACAAATCCACAAGGGCCGTGACGAGGATTCGAACCTTTTGACCATGTCGTAGCTCAGTCGATTAAGGCAGCATCTGGGATGCTCTCGGATGTAGGTTCGAATCCTCGTCACGGCCTTGGATTTGTTGGTGTTCTTGCATTCTATGGAAGGCCACTAACACACACAGTTGTAAAAATGTGAAAGACCGGATATGATTTACAAGTAGTTAGAGTGTAAATTACCTTGTTTTGTCATAGTAAGCTAGAAGGTAGTTGCTGGTGTGTTCCTTATTGTACTTTATTCCCATTGTCAATGTAAACTGTTTATCTGAACCTTATGGGAGCATTTGATTAAGGCCTATTTATAGAATAACTTTTGGCAGTTCATGCATCACACACATGTTTTGAATCTGAATATTCTCAAAATTTCAACTATTGAGTCATTATTTAGAAAACAAGATAAGGGAAGGTTATCTTTCAACTGTTGGGACTTGTACAAGGTTCCTATGTGACATGTTAGAAAGTAGAGCTCGCTATGAGCCAAGTGTCATGGTGCATGGTTGTGCTGTAAAATCCAGTAATTATTTTATGTTGGGAATTTATTAAACAGGTAAAACAGTCAGTTACCACTAATATTACAATATCTTGTATTGTCATTGTGATGGTGTCTGCTGTAAAGGGTGAGAAACATGGCATGGCAGTGTAGTGTCACACTTGCCATGCTGTTTAGTATGCAGTGTCACATTGCCCACACAATGTAACAAGGCCCACACAGTGGCACAAAAGAAACACCCATGTAAAACAGCCCACACAAAGGTCTCAAGGCCCATACACAGTGCTGAAGTTCATAGTGTGCCATGTCTACAGTTAATCAACTTGTGTAATTTCTCACGTCTGGCCCTGACATGATTATTTCAGCTTTACTAAACTGAAACTTGCTCTAAATTGCTGAAGATTTAAAAACATTCAGACTACACACAACAGATATTACATGGTGCATGATCACTTAATTATTACAAAGAACACTTTATGTGTTTTCAGTAGTACCTTTTCTGGTGGCATTTGATGTAAAATATTACTTCTGATGAGAAACAAGTGCAGTATTACTTTTATTTATAAAAGGGAGGCTATTATATGAAGAATAACATCATTTAGTCTATTTATGGACTAAAGGGAGATAAGGGAATGTTGGGATTTTTAGGAAGACGGGACTTTTTATGGCATATGGGGGTTATTTTGTGTTTGTTAAACAATTAAAGTACTGTACTGTACTGTGCTGAGTATTTTGGTTGAAAGCGGAAGATGATTGACACTTACGTCAAGAATGCATAAAATTACGACTTGGCTATATCAATCTTTCTGGTTCATGATATCTATTTTGAGAGATATGAGTACATTTAGAGAATTGCAGGAAATAATGTCTAAGGTAATCAGAGATGTGTGCAAAAAGTGTGTCTCAATGTCAGAGGATGTAGTAATGAGAGTTTTGTGTATGAATATGATGGTTGATGTTATATATCCATTTGTATATCTTTTTGGTGATACAGTAATCTACATAAAGTATTTATTTTCTGTATGTATTCTGTAACCATTTCTTGAACGCTAAATTTGCTTTTTGACTCCTTGGTGAGATACTGTTGAATAATGAGTAATAACATAATACAGCTGTTTGTATATATTGCTTGGTGTTTGTATATATCGTATATTGAGAGTTAAAATTCAAGTTTTGTTATTTGTAGTGTATATGGATGATCCCTATTATTATAAGTGATTAAATACAGCTTCTTCCTTTCTACACAGGAATGTTTTACTAGGATTAGCCTGTAATGAAAACATCTCTGAAGTTGACCTAGACCTAAGTAGTAACCAGTTAAGTGCAACTGGAGCACAAATATTGGAGTCGTGTATCCATGGTGTTCGCTGTTTGTCAGCATTAGACATTTCTGATAATGGTAATATAGAAACATTACTCTTTATTGTAATTTTATAGTGATTAATTAGCTTGTGTTTTCTGACTGTAGTTTGATGTCAATAAAAACAATAATAGCTATAATTTGATATAGTTTTATAGTGATTAATTAGTTTGAATAATCAGATTGTAATTTACTGATATGTCAACAATAATAATAATAATTGCTATATAATTAATTTGATTTTGTTTTGTTGTACTGTGCTGTACCTGATGTTTTTTCACTATCATAATGTTAATACAATATTTTCAACAGGGTTAGAGACTCAACTTGGCCCTGTAGTAGCAGCAATTAGTAAAAACAAAAGTATTAAAAAATTAAATATAGGACGTAACCTCAATAATATCAAGAGCAAGCACGTCTACCATGTAATGGAGTCTGTTGTACAAATGATCCAGGTGAGTCCTTTGGTAATTGTGGTTTATTAATAGTAACGGGGTCAGAATCCACCACATTGGTGTAAATAAAACACTAGGTGGGAAACCGCGTGAATGGAACAGTATATTCTGGACTCTTGCTGTTGCATCCTGTCTCTGTTTTCGTCATTCTGAAAAGATGGGGGAAATAAATTGACAATTTTGTTGCAGAAATTGGACAGTGCTTTGTGTTTGTACTTGCCAAAATGAGAAGTTCTGATCTGCTTGTTAGCTTGAAGATTATAGTTGATGGAGCATTTTTATTTAGATGGAAAAGGTGTTTATGCATGCTGATAGTGTTGGGTTGACAGAAGTGGAGGTTAATGGTGATGAGGTAACCTCAGCAGACTGCCTTTCACTATGTACTCCTGTTGTACTCTATAAATAATAGGGCATAACTAGCCAAAATTCTTGTGGCATTCAAAAGCGAACTTGATAAATACCTCCTAAGGATGCCTGATCAACTGGCCTGTGATTCATGTCAGGCTACGAGCAGCTGCATGTAACTGCCTGCTTGACCAGACAACCAACGCAAGGTAATCGCAAGATGAGGTCTTGCCCACACTTTCTTAAGAATTTTGGTAAACTCTTTCCAGTCTCTTAATTTTGGGTTCCTTCCTACATTTCCTGCCTGGTGCATTTTTGCAAACTTTTTGATCTTCATGGCCTATAACAATGCCTATGTTATGACCTGTTTTACAAATGCTTTTGGGAAGATTTTTACTGCTTGCTTGTCACTTTTGTTTCTTTTTCTTCTCTTCCACTTCTTAAAATGTCTAATAGCCATCGACATTCTCCTCCCTTCTTTGGTTCCTTACTTTTCTCTTACGGTACTTTCATTTTTGGCAACATTGCTGTTTTTCTCACTCCTGGCAAGTTCCATCTTCATATGACCTTCTGTACCACCTCAACTTTCTTTGCCTGCCTTTTCCATATTTCCTAAATGATCTTTCTTAGTGGGGTTCTTTATCTGCAGCCTTTCTATTACTAACTCTTTTTTTCTCTCTTTACATATCCTCACTTTTTTTTCCTTGGTCTCTGTTTAGATCATCTGTTGATCTCTTGAACATTTCTGTTGGCTGATTTATTGTCTTGAGTGTGCCTTGCCTTTCTGATGTCATTTACATCTATACACTCCTTTTTTTACTCTTGTTAACTGAAGGCTTGATTCTTTTTCTTCCTTCTTTCCAGACAGGATTTTTCTTAAACAGTTGCTATATTCTCCAGTTTTACTCAATGTATATACTGGCTAGGCCTAGTAGAAAATATTCCGTGCCCCTGCCTCGCCTCCAGTACACACAGTTACGTGACTAGACACTCACGATGTTGATGTTCTGTTTTTGTTGTGTTGTGTGATAATACTAAGACTCATTTAATAAATTGCTTTGTTTTTGTCATCTAGGAAGAAGATTGCGTATTAGAATCTCTCTCCATAAATGACTCCCGACTTAAAACTGACCTGCACAACCTCCTTAACGCTCTTGGGAGTAATCACTGCCTCCAAAGTTTAGATATTAGGTAAGTTTTCATGGTAATTGGTTTTATATCTAGGCAGTAAATAATAATTTGTAATAAATAAACTTTGAATGGCAAAAAATCCTTAGGAAATTCATTCTTGATATATTAAATATATAGTGCAACCTCCCAAATTTGAACCTCCCTGTAACTTATTTCTAAACAGTAGACCAGATTTACCCACCGGATTATGCCCGCGTTTCTAATAAAAACAAAATCTGGATTCTGGATAGGGATGCAATGAAATCCAGATAGTCTGTTCAGAACTGAAAGCAGTTATTCAATTATTTTATTCCATTAAATTTTTTTTTTTTTGTTTATTTGTAAAAATTAAAAATAATGCATTTATATTTTATAAATGTTTTATTAAACCTGTACTATTTTACTTTCAGTGGTAATTATATGGGTGACAGTGGTGCACGACTTCTGGCCAAAGCTCTGCAAATCAACTCCAAACTTCAATACATAAGCTATGATAGAAATAACGTTACATTACAAGGCTATAGTGATATTGCATATGCATTACAAAGGTAAGCTTACATTTACACTGCTCAAACTAACGTTGAGGTAGTATTGTTCTGATGACTTTATACCTTTTGCATGTTTGTCAACCATGAACTGACTTTGTGAATGATTTATTGGTCAAAATAGATCAATTTCAGCAGAGAACATAATTAGGTAAGGAATTAATTTTTTTTTTTTTTTAAGGGGGTGATCATGTTCATGTGATGTTTTGAGAATATATCCCTGTATTGATCTGAGACTTTCATGTGATCCTAAAAGCAAGGTTCCCATTGAATTTGGGAAGTATGACTTGTTTATTTTTAAAGCCAGTTAAAAATTGTTTATAGAGTTAACACCATAGTTATTGTGTGGATGCTGGAGGGTCACATCATGCTCTACATTAAATTTCATCATAGTCAGTTAACTTAATTAGGGGCTCGTTATTAAGTTAGTTTTATATAATTATATATCCGTATAGAATTAAATACCAATTTGCATGTATTTGACTTGATTGTTGTCATGTAATGGGTTTTCAGTAGTTTGGCTAATTGGTGAAAGTTCATTTGCCAGTAATTAATTATGGTACTTGGTATATTTAATATAACATTCTGTATGAATTATATTGGGGATAGGTCTTCTGCTTCTGGATCTCAATAGTGTTTTAATTGTCTCGTTAAAAATATGTAAGTATATATCAGAGGGTATTGTCATACACGTAAAATCTAAAGCTTGTAGTGATACTATGGTAGTTTAATTAAATTCTTTTGTTTACTGTCAATGAAAGGATTAAGAATTTGAATGTTGTGTGTTAGCCCTCTCAGTAGCTCACCAGAGTTACGTGCTGAGCACAGCATTCTCCCAAACATACCAGCCGTTGATAATTTTGGCCATCCCAAAATCAGGATCAAAATCTGGTTCTCAAGAGACAATTGGATTATAGAGTCTATAGTGTACCGAATACTGAGAGAACTGTCCAGAAAGTCGTCGGCGAAACAAAATAAACCGTTGCTGCTAATAAGAAAATAAAATTTATGAAACATGTCATACAATAATTGGCAAGATGTAAAGTATCCTTATATTAGTCTGGCATCCACCAGGTGGTAGCCCAGATCATCCGGTGTCCTAGTAGGCCAACTTCCCCACTCTCGTACCTGGTACTGACTTAGGTGTATTTCACCTGCTTGGACCATTCTCTCTGCTGCTAAAAGCTAAGTGGTTTTGGCATTCCTTGTGAAAGTCTTTCTTGGTCACAGCCATGCTTTGTTTATTGTTTATTCTTCACAAGTGTGTTTATGCCAATCATATTGTGGATACCCGACTTGCAGTTTCCTTTTCTCACCAGAGTTGTTTTTCTGAAGATTGGAGTGTTCATCTATGGGTCTGCTACTCTCGAGCTGCCTAGCTTCCAGGTAGTGCTTGAGACCTAGCTGACAATGCAAAGCCTGTTGATAGGGTGTTGACTAGTTACGGTAGCTATTTCCAAGTGTACTTGCCTAGGGAGTACACCTAGGGAGTAAAGTGTGTGTTACATCTCTCACTGACTTGTGCATGTATTTGGTGCCTTGTGCTAGAGCCAGAAATGTTCGTAAGTTGTGTTAAGTGATTCTTTCTTGTCAGTTGCTTCGTACACCTTCCCCATCACCTTTGTTGATGGAGTTCCAGGCTTGTTTTGTCAACAACAATTATCTTGTGCCTGGCATATCCGCCCATTCATTAAAAGCCTAGACAGCCAATTTCTGTGCATGCAGAGATGCAGGGACACCTCATTCTTCTGTTGGCTGGGTCATGATGAGTCCCCTACCCAACTTAGAACCAGACATTAGTGCCTGCAACTTTTCTGGATGCTACAATTTACCATCTGTCCTTTGTCTCATTGTCTTTGTTTTAATTTTGTATTAAGAACAGAGGCTTGTTTTATCTTTCATCAAAGAAAGATATTCTTTTGATGAAAGAATATCTTTCATCAAAGATATTCTTAGAGGCTTCCTCAGTTTTGGGTCACTCTGATAATCATGCTTTCCTTACCTCTACGAGAAAACCAGATACTGATCCGGTTTCTGGTATGCCGCTTAAGTCTTATGGGCCTGGTACTTTTGGAAGATACTTTTGTAATCAGCACATAAGCTCTAAAGAGCTACAGAGGGACCACACAGATTACAGCATTTCATTACATTCAGTGGTAAATTGTTTGTATGGGAGTGATGTATTTAGAACAAGCTTGCATTATTTTGTGATTTTTTTGCAATAGGTTGAGAATAACATACTAAAATCACTTGAATACAGTCATATAAGAAAATTTTCAAATGAAATTTAGGATTGTAGTACTCTGGTTGTGTTTAACTTAATGTCTAGTGGCCTTGTATATAATATGGCAATAGAAGTGAAATAATTGTAATAATAAAGAATAAACTAAGGAATTTACTAAATGTTCATAGACTTGAATTAGAAAAGCTTGTTTGATTAATGTATTGTCTTTCGTGAATTTGCAGTAATTACAGTGTCAAGTTTATGCCCTTTCCTGTACACGATGCCATGTTGTGCATGAAGACGGCGCCAGAACGAACAGAGAACATAATGCGCAGAATTCAGGACACATTGTATAGAAACGTATCTCCAATGAAATACTCCAATGGACAAGCTTTTAGATTACAACAGGTGTGTTCTCCTTACACTATTTGTAGCTTTGAATGCAAAATTTGTTTTATTTTTTGCTTATATATTAGCATAAACTTGTATATTCTCTGCACAAGAATCCTGCCAGGTATTTGTGTAATAAAGCATTCTTCAGATTGTTAACAACATATTTGTTTATTAAAATTATGATTATTTTAGCAAGCGTAAAGTCTTGTTATACTGTACATTATAACAAAATATTGGGTGAATATAAAAAACTACTTTACACCTTAGGTTTTTCTTTGCAGTATAACATTTCATATTGCCTTCTAATAGCAAAAAATGTTATTCTTAAACTTAGGGCTTCTTGTTGAGTTCGACACAACAGCAAGTGGATCGTCTAGTGCTACAGACCGGTGAAGTTGTTAGGACCTTGAAGCGCTCTGGGAGTGACTTTGGAGGTTCCAACTCTTTACAGTGGGCCGAGGGACTCATCACAGATGCCGACAGCTCCAAACAGGTTAGTTTTATGTGAAGGTTCTTTTCCCGAGACAGTTTTCCTCGTACGTCTGTGGAATCATTCCCTTCGATTAGGAGGGAATGGTTAGAGAGACTTCGAGAGATTTGAGATGAAACCTACGGATAAATGGGGATGAAAAAGGCAAAGGAAAGGGGCAAATAAGGATAACTGTACAAAACAAAAACGCCGGATAATATATGTAAGTGCCGCTGGATGGAAATAAACAAATAAGTAAATAAATAAAGGTTAAGTGGATGCTATATTGTAATGAAATGCTATATTGAAGCTTGTATGGGGATCTAATTTGAACATGCCATGGTTTACATTAAGGCTGTTGTTACATTGTTTGATCAGAGCGGGCTCAATCACATTTCATTCAACGAAACCCATACTTTTAACAATACATTTTGCCCCTCTGAAGTTGATAGAATGATCACATAAACTGGAATGTAAATACAATGTACTGGAATGCTGGGTTGTACGAATAGCATATGACTTGTTTTAAACTTGAGGAAAGAGATTTACCAGTCTGGCCGATGTAAACACGTGCACACTCATTACAAGGGATGGAGTACACACAACCTGCTACAGACGAGGGCAAGTTCTTGATTAACATGGACTAAACTGTATTATTATTTTTTAACACTGGGTTAATAATAAGGTTTTTCAGGGCTGGGGCAAGATTTACTAGTCCATCGAAATATGGTAATACCAACGAGTTGTGTAGAATGAGGACGTTCTACAAACAAGCTCCCAAGTCTAAACCAGAAGTAAAAAACTCATTAGTATTACCATATTTTGATGGATCAAATAATGTAACAGCAGCCTTTATATAAGCAATGGCATGTACAAATTAGATCCCCATATAAGCTTCAATATAGCACGTCAATACAATATAGCATCCATTTAACCTGTGTTTGTTTATTTATTTCCATCCAGTGGCACTTATATATGTTATCCGGTGTTTTTGTTCTGTACAGTTTTCCTTACTTGCCCCTTTCCTTCATCTTTTTTGTCCCCATTTATCCGTAGGTTTCATCCCCCTATCTTGGTGGTCAGGTGACCTGCCCTGGCAGATCTGCCTACCACATTTCCTCCTTCTTTCTATTTTGCCCTGATGAAGGCGAATTGAGCTGAAAATGAGTTATTTATTTATATATATATATATATATATATATATATATATATATATATATATATATATATATATATATATATATATATATATATATATATATATATATTATATAATATATTTACATATATTTATATAGGGAGGGAGAGGTGTGGTGGTAATGAGGCGGCGTGTTCTGTGGGGGGGTGAGAAGAGGGGAGGTAGTGATGGGAGCAGGGGCCGTGAGGGAAAGAGAGGAGGGGGGAGGTAGTGGTAATGAGGGAGAGAGGGAGGTAGTGGTAATGACTAATGATTAAGGGAGAGAGGGAGGTACAGTAGTGATAATGAGGGAGAGAGGTGAGGTAGTGGTAATGAGGGAGAGAGGTAGGTAGTGACAATGAGGGAGAGAGGGAGGGGCCATGAGTGGTCACCTGGAGGGGGCCAATAGACCCCTGGCACTGTGGACCACCTGAGAGAGGGGGGGGCAGCACGCGGTCCTCCCCCAACACACTGCCAGTCACCACAGCTCCGGCGATCACTCCACTACTCCCCGTCCCCTCGCTGAGCCTCCACACTCTCCACCACCTCTAGTGCCCTCCTCCACCCCGGCACTATTTACCACTTTTATATGTGAACAGTGAGAGAAAATTAGTGAATCAGTAATAGAAAATGGTTTTGGTATTAATGTGGGTAGGAAGGATGTGAGTTCAAGATGAGTAGGGAGGATGTGAGTACAAGATGAATGTTATGGATGCCAGCGATGACAACAACAACAGGAAGGTGAGTCTACCAGGTATACCTGCTCTACCACTCTACTGATGTACACCACTTGTCGCGCTCTCAGTGTTTCACCTGTCTTGCGCGCTGACGGTGGTGTGCGCCACCACATCTTGGGGGATAACTTGACCATATCCACACTTGCCGGACGACCACACTTGTGGTGTTGCTGCTCTCTGCTACCTGCTGTGTTACTGCCAGTATACCCGCTCCTGTATACACGCCTCCACTGCCAGGTACACCTTTCCTACCCTGGTGTACCTGTCACCCCCACCTGCACCACACACCTTCACCACCTGCACCACACACCTGCACCACACACCACAACCACACACCACAACCACACACCTGCACCACACACCTACCATGGTGAACACATCAACAAAACACCGTCTCGTCCCAAGGTTCAATGTTAATCATAATGGGGGAGGCGGCGGGGGCAGTAAAGGTTAGACTGAAGGTGTGTGAGGGAAGCGTTGCCAAGGTGGTTACCTCACAGTCACACGCGGCAGTCATGCCACCGTGACCCTGGTCAGCGCCGACACTTGGAACACCGGAAAGGTCACCTGGGCATGTTATTGTCCCTGGGGGAGGTGTGGGCCAGGGGGTCCACCCTGGGGGAGGTGTGGGTCAGGGGGGGTCCACCCTGGGGGAGGTGTGGGTCAGGGGGGGCCCACCCTGGGGGAGGTGTGGGTCAGGGGGGGCCCACCCTGGGGGAGGTGTGGGCCAGGGGGTCCACCCTGGGGGAGGTGTGGGCCAGGGGGTCCACCCTGGGGAAGGTGTGGGTCAGGGGGAGTCCACCCTTGGGTAGGTGTGGGTCAGGGGGGGTCCACCCTGGGGGAGCTGTGGGTCGGGGGGGGCCCACCCTGGGGGAGGTGTGGGCCAGGGGGTCCACCCTGGGGTATTACCCACTGTTCTTCACCAATCTTCAGGACGGCCCACCGTAAAAGCGTCCCACTCAGCTATTGTGGGACGCCTTTTCCACAGTTATATGATCGTTCGCTGATGTATATGTAGGTTGATAAGTTAGTAGAAATATGTGTACAAATCTATTTGTTAAGGTTTAGATAGGGTAATTAGGGTAATGTGTGTGGTGGAATGATGGTAATGTGTTGACGTCATGAATATTGAGCTGGGCGGGGCTCCAGCAACTGTGGTGGTGATGACGTCACTATGATGATATAGTGCAGGAGAGGTCATCACTAATGATGGGAGACCGGCCAGGAGGGTGGGGGGGCCTTGACCCCCCCGTGTCCCCCCTCCCACACACACACACTCACTCACACTCACTCACACTCACTCACACTCACTCACACTCACTCACACTCACTCACACTCACTCACACTCACTCACACTCACTCACACTCACTCACACTCACTCACACTCACTCACACTCACTCACACTCACTCACACTCACACTCACACTCACACTCACACTCACACTCACACTCACTCACACTCACTCACTCACTCACACTCACTCACACTCACTCACTCACTCACACTCACTCACTCACTTGCACATGAGTCCCCTCTGGAGAAAGATGTTAGTAATTCCAGGGTGGAAAACTATTCAACTGAGTGATTGATAAAGATAAAGCCCCGCAAGAGGTGGCACGGGCATGAGTAGCCCGTAGGTGGTTGATGTTTGGAGTAAAAGTGGTCTTCAGTTCAAGTACGTTTATTGAAACAATAAGATACATCTCAAAGGGCTAGAGTAGCTTAGGCTATTTCTACCTTCCTAAAATGTGGGGTTTGGTGGTTGTTATAGATTCAGCTACTCGGAACAACATCCAAGTAGCACGGGCTATGGTGAGCCCGTAGTGGACTTACCTGGCACAGGAGCGGTGTTTGGTCGTGTAAGATCTCTAAATGTGTCTGTGGCTGGTAGTGAAGTGATTAAGAGTGTAACGATTAGTGTGATGACGGGATAATATTGATGAACACACTACCCATTATGGGATGCTCTTCTCTCTGGAGGCCAATAGTGGATAACTCTTTGTAATTTTCTTCTATGTAATTCGTAAACAAATTCAGATAATGGTGTGAGCTCGTACTAACTGCACTTGTTGAGTGATCATTAGTCCGGCGGAACCACTTGTGCATATGACAGATGAACAAGTATTTGTTGTGTTTGGGACTAAAGCCGCGTGGTACTAATGCCCTGGATGTACTCTTACAGTACACACACACACACTAACATTACCAAGGTCAGGTAATTGTCAGGAGAGAGTGCTAAGCCATTACACACAGCAACATTGCCAAGGGTGAGGTGGTTGCTGCTATAGACGACCACGGTATAGTGTGATACCGGCTGTGTTGTACATAGCATGTACAACATCTCTCAACAAGAAGACAGCACGCTCAGTTGTTTAGTGTCAGTTTCCGGTAAGTAACTCCAGATGGTGAAACATGACATTCAAATACACAGACAAGTATATCAGTATATCACACTAACGTGATGTATATCATTCAGGACATCCAGCGGGGCCCCCTTAAGATGTAGGTGGCAGGAGGCGGCGACCAAGGTCTTGGTACAGTGGTAGAGTATGTGGCTGGCAGTCGTGGTCGCGGGTTGGCGTCGCCTCACAGCTCCGCTCCATTTCCTCTATGACACTTACAACTCTTAAGTTTGCTCGAGCAAGTCCCAGCTGTGTCTGGGTACAAGTGACAGGATGAACAACCCAGCGGGTTTTCTTCCTTTTGGGGAGTGTTGTACATGCTGCTATGGCGGTGTGTCCACTCACAGGATGAGTGACGCTGCCCAGTACCTCGCCCCTCGGGGCAAAAATTAAAATTTAAAAACTCTTAAGTTACCCATGGGGGAAGGGGGGGGTCTTGTAATCATGTAGTTGTTGCTAGTTAAGATTTTCCCCTCGACTTCCTCCTTTTCGTCAGTAATGATTGTTGTTGTTGTCTTCTGCAACTGCCTTGTATCCGTTCCTCAGCTAACGTGTCCAACTCCTCCTCAGACCAAGTCCATTCCATCCAACAATCGACCCCAAAGACGCGTTCAAAAATGTTAACATGGTGTTTATTTAAAACAGGAATTTTCTCAAATATAAATTAATGGTATTATCTATTATCATATTGTTCATATATAGGC